ACATAGCAACAAAAAAATTTTATTCAATAAATAATTTTCCTTTCTTTTTTTTTTAAAAAAAAAGTAGTGGAAAAAAAAATCTTTAATTATATATCACTCTGATAAACTTCCATTTATTAAATAATTTCATTCGTATTTATTTACCGTGTACCCAAATTTATAAATTATATTAATTCAAAAAATTTTGAAAAAAGGTTTTTTTAATATGTTTTTTTAATTAATAATTATTTTTCAGTAATAATTTATTTAAGAAAAAGAAAAGGAAAAAGGAAAAAATAAATAAACAATAAAAGTAAAATGCATCTTATCATTGAAAAATATTTTTAAGGTTTATTTTCGAAATGATATTTAACAGTGTAATTAATTTTTCTTAAATCTAAAATTGATGGCACAATTCAATGTTTCCTTCTCATTTGAAAAAGGAAAAAAAAGAGTTTTTTTTTTTATTTCTGATTAAATTAAAAGAGAAAAAAGATTTAATTGAATAGAATGCCATTCAATAATTAAATTAAATCAAAGAATTTAACAATTCACCAATTCGTGAATTTTATATTTTCGTGTTTTCATTTCATCAATTCCTATTTTCATACTCATCGTTGAAAAAAAAAATATAATGTGCAGTTGGAAAAAAAGAGAAAAAAATATATAAAATAATTTTTTTTTAATTTCTTCAAATTTCTTTTTTTCTTTTAAACGAAAGGAACAGGAGAAGAAACAGAGAGAGAGAGAGAGAGAGAGAGAGAGAGATAAAAAAGGAGAAAGCATAATCAATGATTTTCCTTCATTTTTCTCTTCTTTTCTCTCTGTCTCTTTTTATCTTTACCTCTTTTATTTATTTTTTTTTGTATTTACATAATGAAAGAAGCAATTCTTTCAAATAAAAATAAAAAATAACTTTGAAAAAAATTATATTTATTGAGAAAAGAGGGAAAAGTAAACTGTAATATGATTTATGATTCTTTTATTGAAAATTTTCATCATGAATGAATAAATGCCACAGTAAACTTACTTTTCCATAACACATATTTTTTTGCTCAAAAAAAAAATCCTTCTCTTCTTTAAAAGAGAAAGAGGGAGAGAGAGAGAGGGAGAGGGAGGGAGAGAGAGAGGCAAATAAGTGCAAAAAGATAGAGAATTATAAAATTCCATTATAAATTAATTTTTAAACTAAAAAAAAAATTAATTTTTGCTTAATTCATTTTATGAATCAATTATTATTGTATGTAAAATTTCAGGATAAAAAAAAGTAATTTAAATGATAAAAAAAACTTTCATTTTTTTCTAATATAAAGAAGAATTAGTAGTAATAGTAGTATAACAAAGCAGTAATTTAATGTTAACATTTTACACATTGTTGAAAATGAGAATATTTCAATTTAAAAATTATCTTTAATACGTGGGCTAATTAAATATTAAAATGAAACATTTCGATAGTTTTAATTTTTTGAATTATGGTAACAATAATATGACAATGAATGAAACAAATATTCTTGTAAATTTTAATTTAGTAAAACAATAGCTTAAAAGGATTAAATGTGTCTCACAATCAACAATCATGAATTTATGACAATTATTGGAATTTTGATAGCCAAAAGATTTTTCCTCCGTTGAAAAGAGAAAGAAAACAAAGAAGAAAAAGCGATGTTAAAATTTCATTTATTTTTTAGTAGTATTTACAAAAATTTGATACGGATGGTTCTTGAAATTATTCAATTATTTTTAACAATCATACAAATATTACAATAATATGTTAAATAAATAGAACATAATAGTGAAAACTTTGTTTTATAATAGTTTTATAAAAATTAACAACCATTTAAGCTCAAGTAATTAAAAAAAAAAAAACATGAAATTGCACGAAAATATTAGATTTTAAAGATGAAAATTTGTTGATAAAATTTAAAAATAGTTTCCTATGTTACCAGAATTAATCAAGTACCAGAATCAATAAAAATACATTTGGGACATTGAAATAATTCACAATGTTGACTTCAAATTAAATAAAAATTTCAAATAAATATTAATATTCTAAGAGAAACGAAATGTATTTTATCATCTATTGCTCATGCTATTATTGTCAATCAAAAGAAAAACGAAAAACTTTAAATTTAACTTTCACAAAACGCATTAATAATAATAATAATATTAATAATGCATGCAACAATTAAGTAATGAAAAACTCAAATTCAAAATTAAAAAGTTATTAATATATGTTTTTTTGCCTTCTTCTGTTAATGCAATTTCTTTGCAATTTAACTTCATGTTAAAGAAATATTTGGCTAAATTTTTATATTAGAGAAATTTTTGATTAATTTTCTTATAAGAAAATTATAGGTCGAAAATATTTCAATTTTTGTTTTATTTTGGGTTTCTTTTTTCTATTTTTTAGTTTGGTCTATGTCGTCCAGATTGGATTGTTTGGATTTCTCAATTTTCTCCTTATAAATTTCTGATTTTTGAATTTAGTTATCAGTCTAGATTTTTCTGTTGGCTTTTTTGTTTCGACTTTTTTCTGCTAATTTTTCTTGATTTAATGTTCGAACTAATTTTTAACAATCCAATCTAACCATACACTGCAATTAAGTATAAGTATTATTTCATAGTGCCAAAGCTTCAATTTCTTCAAATGCCGTAAAAACCAAAATTACAAACGATTGATTCATTGTAAACAGTTAGTATCATTTAAGAATGTGTCTCAAACAAAAGATTAGCATTTATCAGCTATAATTTAAATCATAATTATTCGTAAAAGAAGAAAAACTATTTAGGTGTAATGGAAAAAAAAAATGAAAATAGAGAAAAGAAATTTCTCGAAATATAAAAAATATTTGAATTATGCTAAATTCAAATTCAAAAATGTACATAATAGTAAGAAAGGACAGCAGAACTATTTTACCCACGAAGAATTCTTTTTCCAAATAAAAACTTATTGCTATTAGAAGAGTTCACATAAAGATTTCAAAATATTTGAAAACTTTTGAAAACTTACTTTAAAAAAAAACGTGACAATTCTCAAAACGCTATAGCATTTTTTTTTTTTGGAAGATAAATTTGATTTTAGTGAGGCAGATTGCATTGCTGTTATTTTTAATTTTGTTTTAAATTATTTCAAAAAAAAAAAAATTTTTCACTTTGATATTTTTTAGTTTAATTTTTTTTAGTTCAAGTTTTTTGATGATGAAACATTGAAATATGAAAATGCGGCATGATTGATTTTTAAAATAACTGTTAAAATTGCCTAGAAAAGTTTCGAGCCATTTTTTTTTTTTTTTTTTAGAAAAAATACAAATTTGAAACTTGTTTGTAGCGAAATGATTTTAATAACATTTTGCATTCACTATAGTTTATCGACGATAATAACAGCTTAATTGTGATCAAAACTTGAATTTTATGTGTTATCGCTAGAATTTTAACTTTCCTATTCAAATACAACGAATTCGTTTGAAAGTATTTTATAGAATTTATAGTTCCAAAGATTTCAAATAAAAATTTTATTCCATGTTTTGTCTTCCAGCACTGCACACTTTTCTCCTATTAAAAAGCACTTTCTACAAATGATAAAATTGAAATGAAACAAGAAGAACTAAAAATAACAAAAAATCGAAATTAATATAAAAAATAGTTTTGAAAATAATAAGAACTAAGAAGAAATGAAAAATTGCTTTAAAAATTTGAAAAATAAAAATAATAAGAGCAATAAAAAATATTAAGAAATAGTGAAGAAAATAATGCAGAGAAAAATTTGTAAAAAATAATGAAAAGTAGCAAGAAACTATAGCAATAAATATTAGTAAGAAGTAGTTCAAAAATAATAAACGTATTGAAAATAGTAAAAGATATTAAGAATAATAAAAAAGATTTTAAAATTCAAAAGAATGAAAATTATAAAAACAATGTAAATAATAAACATGTCAAAAAAAAAAAAAAAAACAAATATACATGCTTTTTGTTTGTTTGTTTTTTGTCTCATTTGTTATTATGATGTGAATACAACCAAAATTAATTCACAATTAATTTAATTTGTTATTCTAAATTTGAAAACAGAATTTCAATATGAATATTTCCAATAACGGAAGCTTTACAACATTTCGAAATTGTTTCCATCCCTGAACATTTCATGCAAGGGATAATCTCTAAATTTTTTCTTGATTTTTAGAGAATTAATTGAAATATAGAATGGACATTTACTTGAACTATCACTGAACAATTTTCGCACTATAATTCCGGATTTGAAAAACGTTTCTGTTTCTGCTCCGCTGAATCATCAATTCTCGAGAATTGTCATCATCAACATCTTCTAAACTGCTAACATCCAGATAATTGATAAATGGATCATTTTACGGATCATTATTTATGAATTGTTAATTACAATGAATAGTACAGCATCTTGCACATCCTCTAAAATATCATTTTTTTTTCCTTTGTATCGAAAACTCATGGAGAGCAGGAATTGCTTTTTAGCAAAAGTGAAATACTTTTAAAAAATGACAAATATTACTAGTGAAATGAAATGATTTACCGAAATCGGCAACAATCGAGAAAACCATGTAATTTAATTTTTAATCCGGAATTAGAATTCCATCGAAGCTACAATAACACGGATTTTGATTATACCAATTCAATGTTCGACCTAATATTGAATATACATTGACCACAATAATAATTTTCAGGATTAAAAATTATAACAAATTACAATTCAGGATATGGAAAAAAATTTTTTGATTAATTAGTGTCTAATTAAGAGCTGGAAAGCACATTAACTTCTTAATAAGCCAATTCTTGATGAAAATTAAATTCTGCATTAAAAAAAAAGAGAGGGTGTTTTCAAAAAATGTAAGATGTTTGTTTTCAAAAACATGAACGTGCGTTTGTCGATAAATGGTTTAGTTCTCCTTCTTATCTGATTATTTTCTTCTCACTTGTTACTGTCTTCTTGAGGTTGACGTCATTTATTTCTTTATTTGTCTCATATGTTTTCTTTATTTCTTTAGTTGACGCTTATGGTTTCGTGGGTCGTTTCTTTAGGAGCCGTCGTTTTTTTCGCAGGTATTGGGGTGTGCGTCGGTGTTCAGTTCGGTGGTGGAAATGATAAAGGTGATGTATCAGTTTTGCGTATAACTTGTATTACATCTGGATATGTGAAACGATTTTTTTTACGTGCGTCGTATGGGGCAGATTTTCATGTTTATTTGCCTAGTTCACCTGTGGTTGTTATTTCTCATGCTACGGATTGTGGTCGTGGTGGTGGAAAGTTACAGAGCAACATTACAGCATATTTAAAGCACAGAAAATTATCACACCAAAAGCAGTTTTTACAATATCAAGTCGAGCCAAATCATGGACAGCTACAATATTCTATATGGAACACTTCAACTCCGAACTACTACAACGTATAGGCAACGGTTTAGAATACGCCATTATCGGAAAAGAAACCTGTCCCACAATAAACCCACAACACTTCCAATGCTACTTTAAATTCAATTCTGCCATACGTTTCAACACCTTAATAAGTAAGCTACCGCGCACGAGCCACGTGGAAAAAGCAAAAGGAAGTCCATATCGAAACTTTCAATACTGCAGCAAAGAAACAATAAACGAAGAAATAGGGACTCGACCCCACCCACCTTCAAGGAAACGCAAAACAACGGAAGAACAATCACAATTGCTGAAAAAATACTGCGACAACGAAATGACAATAAACGAAATAATCCAATACGACAACATATTCGTTATGAGAAACCTATCAAGAATTCAACAACTGAAATCTTATATAACCAAAGACAGAACCACTACGATAGAACAGAGTGAATACTTAAAGCCAAAATCAAGTAACCGCTCGGATTTAGTTTTTGATTAATTATTTGCTTAAATAAACTTCGAGTGATTATGCATTTTCCAATCAAAAAAGAAAAAAGAAATAAAAGTAGATTAATTAACAATACATCCTATCAATTGTAACGATGACATATTCTCCTTGAAATACCAAAGTATAAGAATACTGGAATTATTGGACAACTAATATTTCTCAAAGTTATATCTTCCAAGTTATAATAATTTCAGCTGGAAATTTCATACCAATTTGCTATCGCATACTCACAAATTGTTTACTCAGTCGTATATCACCGAATTTTCAGCGATGTTGGATCAGTTTTATCACCAATAAGTTGACGTGATTTGGTTCAAAAATAATCTTTTCTTTTTCATACTGTCCATCGCAGCAGGGTAACATAATTATCTTATCTGAAGTGGGTTATATTTCTTTCCAAATGTTATTCAGTCTGAAGAAAACAGTGTTAGCAATTTCATAAGATTTTGTAAGTTTTTGAAGTTCAAACTATTTAACCTGACATTTAAATTTATGCAATATAATTTGTAGTTAAGAATTTTAATTTTTTCCAAACATTCCTGAAGTGCATTTTAGGTTTAAGATGGAAGCTCCTGAGGAAACAATAGAAATTCATTCACAGGTTTATTTGACATCACAGTTCACTAAGGAATAGTAACAGTTTCTTATTTAAAAAATGTATTGATAAAAAAGTGCGAAAAAAAGGATTAAATTAGTATTAGATTTAGTCTTTATACTGTAAATTTAATATTAGATATTGTAAATATTTTATGAAAGAACACTGCATTGAAATATATTAGGCGATAAAAGTTAATGGCATTGGTTATCTTTAATATTTTGTTATAGATTCAAAAATCTTAATTTTTATCAGCTTTTTTAAGTCATTGCTCCTCTCAGATCAGAACTTTAGAACTGCGAAACTTCAGAAACAAATTTCGAGGAAAACAGTAATGTAACTATGGAATTAATTCACCTCGATTTTGCAGCAAAATGATGATATTTGCATGATAAATGCAATGTAAGAAAATGCAGTACTATTTTTTAAATAATTATCATTCTAATAATTACCAAAAAAAATATGAGCAAACTGTTTGAAACAACGAACTGTCCTCAGTGATTCTATTCTTCACTTAAAAAAGATCCATTATTTTAAAAGCCCATTATTCTACAACTAACTAAATTTGATACAGTCTGATCATAATATAAAAATAATTTAAAAAACAGAGCAAAAACGATATTTAAAAAATGTCAGAAATAATAGGGAATAAAAGAAGCATTAATTTTGATACATTCAGTATTTTCAGTTTTAATAACTGTGCTGATTTTGAAAATATTGTTATAAAAAATTGCAAAAAAAATTTCCAAAAATAAGAATTTATACGTTACGCAGAATTTATACGTCAAAATACTACTTCATGTTTGAAATCATGAATATAAACCTAAAACATGGACTTTAACTTGTTGCTTCTTTACCGCTTTAAAAAAGCAATAATCCATATCGAAAAATAATTAAAAAGACAAGTTATGACAATCTGAAAGTTCTTATAAAGATTCAACAACTAAACACAAGGGTTAAAAAATTGAAGAAAAACTTGTTATTTATTCGCATGAGTGACAGGTTATTACATGAAATTTTCGTAATTTTACTAATATATTATGAAAAAAGAAAAATGAGAAAATTTATTTAGAATGATATATTTGCAAGAATTTAATATGCTTGCATTAATTAATTTGCATAGATATTGCATTTATAATTGCTTTTTTAATCCTTGCATCAAAAATCAATTCAAAATTATTTTTACAAATGGAGAAGTATTTTTGCATGAAGACAATTTAATGTATTTGTATTTTATTTAACCATTCAATTATTTTATATTTCTATAAATAATTATTTGTGAAAAAAATATTTTAGTATTTTCTGGTACAAAAAAAGGCGAATGATATTCTCAACTGTGAGATGTATTGACCATCAGAGTTCGTTTAAAAATTTTTGAATGCAGAATGGCTTCCATCATTGGATACATTGAATATATTGAAGTTCGAGTATGAATGTCTACTGAATTTGAAAATATTGAACTGATAAACATAATAATAAATATATGCTAGTTATGATGGATAAGTTTATCAGTATAATATTAGCTATACCACTATATACTTTTCCTATCAATATAATCAGTTTACTTTTATTAGATGAGGAAGGACAGCAATCAACAAAATTGCATTTGTTTTTTTCTGTCACTTTTAATAAATGAAATGACTTCTATTCCCTCCTGTAAATGCGCGATATCTATTGGTTGACCTCTTCAGAGTTATGTTGTAATTGACCCCGAATAACAAAGTGCCTTGGTTTACCCCTTCATTCTATTTAAATTTAAATAGAAGTTACGAAATATGTGGTGGGAATCCATTTCAACAGTTTTAATTGTAACCGCAAATTAATGATTGGGCGCCAATTCGATCGATTATACATAAAATTGAATGCTTTTACTGTGAAAGAAAAAATGAAACATTTCGGTACATTCTTTTGAAGGCATTTCATATACTTTAAAAAATAAATTTTTTGTGGTATGAAATTATAAAGAACAATTAAGTTGCAAACAACAGAATATTACCAAATATTGGTTTATTTAAATGGTTAAGAAGTATAATTTTTAAATTCAAATGATTCTTATTATCACTTAATTGAATCATTCTCATTTCTTTTTACTGTTTTCAGTGGTCATTTTGCGTCAGTATATGCTGATGATAGTTATAAAAAAATATATGAAGAGTGCAGGGAGATTTTTATTATATGCCAATAGATGGATCATAAATTATTTCTGTACGAATCGAAAACAGTGCAATATTCTCGAGTAAGCGATATTGAAATAAGTGTGTAAGATAAATTCGTTAAAATTTTGAATAATTTTTGCGTAGCAAATTTTGAGTGACTCAACAAGATTGATTCTAAGTTGCAATCAATTTGTGTAATCTCTTGCAATCGCAAATTATAAAATGTTTAGATTTTCTTTCTTTGTCGAAACAAAAACTTTTGGGAAGAAAAGTAACCGAAGCAGAGGTATCTTCAAAGAGACCCGCCCACTCGTCAGTTAATCCATAAAACTGATGAAGTCAACAAAGCACACAGTGTTGATGAGGTCAATCAGAGCCTATTTAGAAGCATATAAACGCACTTTCACTCTTCAACTTGTCATTGTCAAAAAGATTGGATACAAAGTCGACATCGTCTTAATCTCTCTCCATTTATGCCTAAAAATTGCTTTCTTTTGAAATCTCTGAAGTAATATGGCGAGCGCTTTAAATTATCTATAGGACCTATTTCCCAAATTATTTTTATCACTATTTTCTGTTCAGTTAGAAATAAAACATAAAAGAATCATATACTTCATTTTTCAGTCCGTTGGAAACAATGAGTATTTCACTCAATTTTTCAAGATTTCAAAAAAGTATGGAGGAGCATCTCCGAGTAAGTTTATAGAATTAAAATTTTTTTTCTCTCTTCGAGTTATTCCACTGTTATCATCTAAATTAATTTCTTAACCAACATACAAATCCATATGCATTGGAATTTCTGGAATGAAAATATTTTTAAAACTTAGACTTCATTGTATGCTACATTATTGGTTTTCTCGGGCAATGAAATTCAAATGTAATATTAATCTTTTTAGCAGCAGAAAACTGAGTCTTCTCCGCAAGAAATTGAAATGATACTCCAGTCGGAGGAGGATTTCAGTTTAGTAACACGCCTTATAGCGGAACGGATTCGCTGTGAGGAACAAAAACGGCAGCAGGAAATAGAATGCTCAACATTAGCTGCCGTAAGTTTCAGGTGAATAAAAGTTTTAGTCTAATTTCATCTATTTTGCAGTGTTTCAAAATCAAATTTCAGTCATTTGAATCTATTTCCATTATTTAGGATCCCCACTGAACTGATCGATTTATTGCTTGGAGTGGAGGATCAACAGGCGCTTCTAATAGCGTTCCAAACTGAAACAGAATTCATGTTACCACGTCGGTTTCAGAGTTCCACGTTCACAATCAACGGATATGAGCATAATATCCGCAAAGCTTTGCGGATGATTGAGGAAATTATCAATGAAGAGTGTTGCAATTCACATTCACCAACTTATGCTTTTGTTCCTGATCCAAATGCGGTAGGAATTATTTGATTATATTCAAATATAATAGTTTTTAATGTTATTTTCCGTGACAGTTTCAATTAATTAATGAAGATTGTTCAGATCACTGATAAATTTTATAGGACGAAAGTGGAACCGATTTCATCCTATGCAATGGACCAATTCGTGAAGCAAGGTATAGGCCTGGAAGAGAGGGAATGCATCGAGGTTGAGGACGAAATGTATTTAAATAATAATTAAATTAAATGCTATATTTATATTGATTTGCTTATCTAGTATTTTGTGCATGTTATATATAATTGAGCATCTGTACGTTATTTTTGAAAATTCATTGGTCACTCCACTTGTTATTTTATGCTTTGTGCAATATACAAAATCGTTTTGTTTGATTTTTAAATGAACATTTTATTTT